ATATACATATTTATATTAAGAGAGTGATTATTTCCCCTATTTCATTTGTCTTAAATAATTTCCCAGGAGTTACTATGTAAGAAATTTTTTTTACAAGAATTACAAAACAGATTGTGTTACGTTCCTTGTTTTTGGTTGTAGTGTGTGTATATATATATATTTTTGTTTAGATTGATACAATTTTTGTTTTGTCGGCCTACATTGTGTGCTTTTTCTTATTTCTTCAGAGTGCTAATTTCAATTTATTTTACATCATAGCGAAGTAGTGACATACATCTAGTAATTATATATATATATATATATATATATATATATATATATATATATATATATATATATATATATAAAATACACGTATATATAACGTGTTAAAAATTCGGCGCCTTTTTGCTCTATTCGCTCCCCCTACAATGGAAACCTGGATACGCCTCTGGAATTAGTACAAACTTTTGCGACGAAGGAGGCAAGTAAAATTTGCTTTTGATGTCTACTTACAACGTGTAAGCAATTGATAATAAATTAATATGTCACTTTTAATTAATTATTTTCTTATACATATGTTTTAGTAATTAATTTGCGTGAAAGGGGGCGTTTTAATAAATTTTACCTAGGGCGTTAAATAACCTGGTGCCGGCACTGCAGCCGCCTTTATTTTCCCTTACGTGAGTCAGTCTAAACTGGATGGACTCAGGGTCGTACTACGGACTTGAACCCGGATTCGAACTCGAGCCTTTCAGGTTAACAGCCGTATGCTCTACCATACGAACACACCATCTTAGAAGAATTGTTGCGGGCCACTTAAAAGTTGAAATATGATTGTCATCCCGAAATTCTTTTTTTTTTTTTTTTTTTTTAAAGAATTGCATTAAACCCTGAATCATTTTGTACTCCCCCAGACAACTTAACCTCGTGATTCTAAAGTAATGTAGCGAAAGAATGTAAGACATCAAAATAGTTTTTTTTGTTGTTTGACAATGAACGCTTGAACTTAATAGTATGTCGATCGGCCACATCTGTTAAAAGTATGATATATATCTACTTGCTAGGTATTTAAAACTTATGATGTAACCAAATATGCAATTTTAAAACAGTAAAAAAATTACAAAAAAAATATGTAAAATAAATAAATAATAAATGCAATTTTAATCGTTCTGAATGTCTTTGTTTTCCCAGTTCTAATGCAATATGTATAAGGGTGAGCTTTTGCCGTATCTTCCTCCACCAGCCTCCTCCATGCGCCGTCTACCCACATACACACAAAGTCATTATGTGATATTTTATTATCTCAACGGTTAAGTTAACCTTGCATGGCCATCAATATGTCCCATCTCTGACTTAATTTTTTTTTTATAAAAGAGACACGATCTGGCTACAGATATATGTAAAAAAAAAAAAAGCAGCTCAATTTTTAAAGCAAGATGTAGGACTCAGCTTACAGACCAACTCATGTAGCTTTGTGTTGTCTCCCTTTTACCGCAGTAATCTCCCTTTTAATTAATGGAGGACGTAAATGTGGTGTGAGAGTTGTACGGAAGTTTAACTGGTTTTTGTTTCCAATGCGTTTAGTTGTGAGAAATATTCCCGCTTAGTTCTGAGCAATATCTGTGATATATGATCAGTGTTTCTTCCAAACTTTTTTCTCCGGTGGGGAGGGGGGCACTTGATATTTTCCGGGGTGGCGGACACTAGTAAAAGTATATGTTTAGTATATAAATTCTATCTCGTTCGGGGCGGAGCCCACCCCCCCCCCCCCCCCCCCAAGAGATGCGTGGAAGAAACTCAGTATATGATGTAGTAGATAACATCAGCTCTCTGTATCTGAAGTATTTGAGGAAGTAGATAACTGCTCTCTGTATCTGTAGTATTTGATGAAGTAGATAACAACTGCTCTCTGTATCTATAATACATGATAAAGTACAATCATGTCTGATCGTCTGATCATTGAATCACCTTAGCTAGAAAAAATAACCGAACCGAAACAGACGGTGTTGAAACGTAATACATCACGCATGAGTATTCTGAAATAGTAGTTACCAATTACTATTGTACTAAAACAGCTTAGTAAAGAATCGATTTCAGTATCGGTATTCACACACCTACGTGTTCTATTAATAGCTATAACGGGTGTTTTACCGGTATGTTTTGCATCAATAAACTCTCTATTTTTATACTTCACGTCGATCTGTCTGCAATGTAAAAACACGAATGCTTTGTATTGTAAAACCCCAATGAACAGTACTGGTGTATTCATGACTGTCTTTAGTCTGCTTTTATTTCTGGAATTGCTTACATACACTTTGTCCATCCAAGAACAATCCGCAAGGCGGTAGTTGTATTATTTTAGAGTTTTTTTTCTCCTAGATGATTTGTTGTCTCCAGCTAGCGAGATTCATTTCCCGGGGGTTTCGAACTCGGAACATTCGGAGTTAGCACTCATACGCTCCCTCGCCCGACCACGCCGTTCCCGACGTTAAGACAATAACCCCAAACCTTTCGAACGTACATCAAGTGAGACACTTCACATTACCTCTAAAAGTACTGCAGTAAAATCTGAAATCTTCGTGTAATAGTAGAAAAAAATTATTGTTGCAATACCCGTTAAAGGAATATGTGGGCATAGCTAATCAATACGAAAGTACAAAACGTGATTATTAGACCAGCCGCTACGTGACGATACGAAGATACTACGAATCTACGACACACTTCCGGTCGAAAGATCAAATAAACTACGTCACGACTGACGCGATGGTGGGTTACAGCTATCTGCCCTTGACCAACTCTCCTTTCGCCATAACGACACTGCTCACGATTTTTAAAAAACAAGTCCCATCTTTTGATGACTTTCTAGGGGCTTCACGTAGGTCACTGAGTTCCCCACATAACTACATTGTAATGATTACATTTTAATGATTCCATCAAGTTTTGAAATGGTCTGACTTTTAACCTCGTTAAATCACTCAATGTTTTGACGCGGTTTGCGGTCATGGAAGACTATTCATCGACCACTGAGGGGAGACTATTCATCCAACTGAGATTAATGAAGTCGGCGGTGAATAAAGAAAATAAAATAAAAAAGTAGGCAACACCTTGCTAGTCATTGAGTTTAATACATACGTACATTTTTACCTGATTGAATTTAAATTGTCGGTCTAATAGTCTACAGGAATTTTTTTTTAAAATGTGTAAACCAAGAAACAAGTGTATTCAGCTTCTGTCGGCCAATACAACAAAATCCTTGTCCTGTATTTATTTTCTGACTTAAAAAATACATCCTATCTATTTAACAGTTGCAGATAGTGTCGTTTAAAAATGTGTCGGTGACTAATGTTTTGTTTCGCTTTCTCCTTCAGAGACCTGATCAACTTTTTATACCTCACGACGATTGAACCCGGAGCTTTCAGTGGCCTAAACGACTTGGAGATATTGTAAGTTAAGATTTTTTTCTTTAAAATTATTTCTGATTTTTAAAAATTAAGTTGTAAATTTGCAACAACCAGTATAAACTTGCTTGTACTAGTGTAATAACAGCATTCAATTAAAACAGTAGATTATAGAATGAAAAAACAGTTTGAAATAAAATAAAAGGGCTAGACTGGTTCTAAAGCACTTGTAAGGACAAGTATTTGCATACACTATTAGAAGACGGCCTATTATAATAGCACTAAAAGACACCTCTATTCATAGACACTCGCGGCATTTTTTTTTCAGAAGGGAGAATGACCATGCTAAAAGGCGTAATATATCTGTATATCTATATATATGTATAAAAATATACATACACACACAAATGCGTATATATATATATATATATATATATATATATATATATATATATATATGTATGTATATATATACCGTGAGAAAAAATGGAGAGATAGATTGGGTGGGTGAGAGATTGAGTAAGATAGAGAGGTACCATAGGGATTGTATAGATATTTTTTTTCTCGTACGTTTGTTTTTCGAACCAATCGAGGGATGGGGTCATCCGATTCTGCGGACTCCCGTACCCAGTGCCAACTTCTTTAATTGTAACTGACACAGTCTGACCCTTCATTATAAACACATATATTTCTATATATTCTAATCTCCTCTAAACGTACACTTAGGAATAAAAAAAATCTTTCTTCATTTTATCTTATACATATTAACACACAACTTTATTCAAATAAACATTATAACAAAACATTGTTACATATTTGTATCTGATAATAGTGGTAGAGGGGATCATTTAATTTGAATAAGTGGGTAAGGATGGGTTCGTTGATCGAATTTCATTAACTTGACGACGTGATTTTAATTAGTTTATTTCAAATACTTGTTTATCCCTGAGGCCACGCATTAAGCGTCGTTTCTCGTAGAAATTTTTTTTTCTCAAGTCGGAGTTGACTCAAGAATACCGTTGCCTTTGAATATTTTAATTTATTTTAGCATATATATATATATATATATATATATATATATATATATATATATATATATATATATATATATAGTTGTTATATGGTCGGACATATGGAATGATTTACAAAAAAAGAAATAAAAGAAATAAAAATAGTACATTGAAAACTTCCAAAATTTGTAAAAAAGTTATTTTAAGAAATAACAAAATAGTAATTGCTGAGTGAATTACTTCGGACAAAAACACATGGCTATGGGCCTACTGCCAAACTACTTTTCTTTCTTCCATGTATGCTAATGTCACTCCCACGCACTAGCCCGCGGCATAGGTCAAAGGTCAGACGATAACTGTCTAAAAACTAGTAATTAACATAGACAAATGAAACAAACGTATGTTGTAAGACATTTCGTTTTTAAAAAGACGTTTTGTTGTAGAAGAAAGTGTTGCTGAAATGGATGATAGATCAATGCCCTTCTCCTCCCCCCCCCCCTCCCTCCCCCCCCCAATCAATCTCTTGTAATAAACCGCTCACATCCACACCATCCCTTCATACGCCGAGGATAAGAAACATAACTCTACTTCATCTGCCTAAATGGATCACTAGGTCTAAAGAGGAACTTTACTCGGAATTTAATCCACTCATCCAATTGCTAATATACAAAAGCAGTGACTCATAAATAATAAGTTAAGTTCCCTTTTCAAACTTAACGATTCATAGGGCAGATGCAGTAGAGTTCACATCATTCTTGCCCTCAGGTACTCATCTGAGCTGGTTTAACTCTATGGACGTCCTGCAGTTTCGAATCCGAATCAAGATCCGAACTCGAAACCGTTAGAATAGCAGTTGAGCGCTCTGCCAGACAACCATAACTCTTAAGTAGATTGAAAAATCGATTCATACTTAAAACTGAAACTTACATGGACAAACTAACACAAAAATCGAAACGAATGTGATCTAGCAAGCAATGTTTTCCATCTCCGTGCTTATACAAATCAAAGTCAGCTTCGTATTATTTCCATCCCCGCCTTTCGACAAACCTCAGTTGAAAAGGCCGCGGAACGTAGGTGCCGCCACACTCTCCATCCAGGGGCGGCAACACGCCATCAACGGCCGGCACCAGCTTGAACCTCTGCATGACAGCGGACAGGAACAGGAACAGCTCCATCTTCGCCATCGCCTCCCCCAGACACGCCCGCCTGCCCATGGAGAACGGGATGAACTCCGGCGGCTGCAGGAGCTGACCGTTGGGGTCAATGAACCTTTCAGGCCGGAAGTTGTCGGCATCGCCCCAGATTTTAGAATCGTGAAGAACAGAGTCCAGAAACGGCACGACCACGCTTCCTGCGGGAAAAGCGTAGCCCCCTAGGTTAAAAGAAACACGGACTTGTTTTCGCGGGGCGCTAGGGGCGACGTTCGCCAGCCTTTGCGTTTCCATGACAACCGCGTTGAGGTAAACCAGTCCAACCCGATCGTAAATCCCTGGAACCCTTTCGTTCCCGACTTTTGATTCGATTTCTTCATATATCTTATCTTGTACTTCCGGGTAATGAAGCATAAAAAGCATGAACCAAAGTATAGTAGTGCTGGTCGTCTCAGTCCCTGCTATAAATAGATTTCTGATAACGGATATCAAATTCGAGCGATCAAGATTAGTATCGATCTGAGTTATTTCCCTTTTCTTCATCTCCAGCAGGTACGCCGCGATGAAATTGTCCGGTTCTTCGTTTTCGCTTAAGTCTTTTTCAATTTTCTCAATGTAGAACTTGCAAAACAAATTGTTGACGTCTAAAACGCTTCTGGTCATTTTCTTGGCATTGAAAAAATCCCCGGGAAGAAACCGTAAGATTGGCATGAAGATCAACAACTGCATCTGCGGTAAATATTTCACGATGTCGCCCAGCAAGCCGATCAGACGAACGAACTCGCGATCGTCGTGATGGAACCTCTTCCCGACGATAATGGAACAGACGATGTTTGAAACGCTGACGTTGGTCATAAGTCTTACGTCCGACGGCTTCCCTTTTAAGCCGGCTAATCCGGCGAGGTATTCCGCGACTTCTTCCTGTATTTTCACGGCTAAGATGTTTGTCCCCATGCCGAAAGATCGAAGGATGGACAACGACACGGCGCGCTGTTCCTTCCAGTTCCCCCCACTGGCACCAATGATTCCTTTGTTTGTCTCTCCTAGAATGTCGTTGATCAAACTCTTCGGTGCGTCCGGGATGTTTTCCGCGTTGTTGATGAGTAGCTCTTTGATGTTCTGGTACCCGCTGACCACAATATACAGCTGGTTACCCATTCTCAGACTGTACACATCGCCCGTCTTCTCGCGCCATTCTCGCAGTCTCTCGCGGTAGTTCTTGCTGAAATCTAACAAATGGCCAAATATTATTTTAGGCGGCACGGGAAAGGGAGGCAAATTTTTACCCGTTTTCTGTCGATCGAAGAATATCCACAGCAAGATAAAAGATAAAATCAGACCAAAGATGACCGGAAAGGATAAAAAACTGCTGAGTAAAATTGCATCCATCTTGAGTTAATTATACTTCTTGTCTGAAAAAGAAGACAGAATATTTGTTTACATTAAAATGAGACACAACAAACAAATTTATTTTTACAAATACGTTTCTTTTATCTCTCCCCGTAAATTTACTATCGTTATTAAGTGACGCATTGGTTGTTAGCCAAATTTTTTAGCTACATTTTCTTTGAAACAAATATTTTGAGAACTTTTTTCCTAATAAAATTGTACAATATTTTATGGGAATTTTCTTACAACAGGTATTTTAAAAATCGTGGACCTGTTCTAAAGAATATGACGTTTTATAATATTTACGCGATGTGTTTTTATGTAATTTTAAAACAATTTAGAAAAGCACTAAACCAGCTATATAGATGTACATTAGGGAGCAGTGAGGCAAGATATCGCTCTATTGTCCTTGTGTTTAAATAAAAGGAATGTGGCGGTTTAAAAAAACATTTAATTAAATCGTGAGTCAAGTGGTGTAGTGGAAAGCTCACGCATATTAACACGACACTGATGGGGTTGGTACCCAGACCCGAGGGTGGCGGGCGTCTCCGTGACCTTACAGGCTACACCCCCACCCACCATGGGCGTTTCCACCAACCACCCCAGTGGAAGGATATATCTGAGAATAAGTTGAATATACTAATCTACCGAGTGCTTTAGCTTTGTAATTTCCCCTTAGTTTCGAAACCGTTTACTAATTTTATAATGACTAATTAAACTTATATTGTCATCGAAGTGGAACGTATCCGGAAAGTTTGAACGAAATCACTGCATTAAAAGTGGGTCAAAATTGAGTTACAAACCCACAAACTAACAAACAAAAAACAAAACTGACTTTGGGAACTAAATAAAAGCTTGTAAAAAAGTAGCCTTTGGTGGCAACCAAACTTTACGCCGTTGCCAACAGGGGAGCGAGCAATGCTGATCTCTACATCTTGTTGTAGTATATCTGGCTAAACCAATCAATTACATTTCGTTTTTAGAACGGTCTACCTCCTCTTCCCCCCCCCCCCTTCTGCGCGTTTTTTACTTTCTGCATCTAGGACGATAGCCATTATTTGACATTTGTCACATCGTATCGTCCATCATAAACCCAAGTGAGCAGGGGTGTAAATCTGTGAAGGATTTCTTTAGGATTTAAATCATTTTTGGGATTATATTTCTTAGCGGTTACACGCCGGTGCCAAGGAGGTGCATTGTTCTGTGATGCCTAGCATCCCAAAATTTGGAAAATAAAACTGCGCTAGATAGCTAGATATATGCAGTTTCTTTCAGGCATCTCTACCGACACCCCCCCCCCTTCCCCGAACGAAATGGAATTTATATAGAAAATATACTTTTATCAGTGTCCCCCCCCCCCCCCCGAAAAATGTATCCCCCCCCCCCCCCCCGGAGAAAAAAGTCTGGAAGAAACACTGGATATATGTAATATTGTTTTTATATTTAAGCTCTACAGTTCTTAATATTTCTTTGAGTAAATGTATATAGCTATGGGCGGATCTTGTGAGTGACAAAATGTCCAGGTCCCCGTCCCAAAGAGATAAATGTTATATAACGTTGTTGCCAACACTAAACAGAAGATGTCCTGGTCAGGATTATTGCACGTGCGCCCAAATGTTTTTATAACAAAGGTCAGTCAGTTTCACGCCTACATGCATGCTCACATCGTCAGTGATAGCATTCAAATCAAGGGATACCAAATGGTGTTTAGTAATGTTTCGTTACATTTCGTTTTTTATTTGAATAATTCCATGAGGGAGTGTGTGTTGGATGAAGGGTGTGGGTTGGGTGAAGGGTGTGTGTTGGGTGAAGGGTGTGGGTTGGTTGAAGGGTGTGTGTTGGGTGAAGGGTGTGTGTTGGATGAAGAGTGTGTTGGATGAAGTGTGTTGGATGAAGTTTGTTGGATGAAGGGTGTGTGTTGGATGAAGGGTGTGTGTTGGATGAAGGGTGTGTGTTGGATGAAGGGTGTGTGTTGGATGAAGAGTGTGTTGGATGAAGTGTGTTGGATGAAGTGTGTTGGATGAAGGGTGTGTGTTGGATGAAGGGTGTGTGTTGGATGAAGGGTGTGTGTTGGGTGAAGGTGAAGGGTGTGTGTTGGGTGAAGAGTGTGTGTTGGATGAAGAGTGTGTGTTGGATGAAGAGTGTGTGTTGGATGAAGAGTGTGTTGGACGAAGGGAGTGTGTTGGATGAAGGGTGTGTGTTGGATGAAGGGTGTGTGTTGGGTGAAGGGTGTGTGTTGGATGAAGTGTGTGTTGGATGAAGGGTGTGTGTTGGATGAAGTTTGTGTGTTGGATGAAGGATGTGTGTTGGATGAAGTGTGTGTGTTGGATGAAGGGTGTGTGTTGGATGAAGGGAGTGTGTTGGATGAAGGGTGTGTGTTGGATGAAGGGTGTGTTTTAGATGAAGGGTGTTTGTTGGATACAGGGTATGTGTTAGATGAAGGGTGTGTGTTGGATGAAGGGTTTGTGTTAGACAAAGGGTGTGTGTTGGATGACATGTGTTGGATGAAGGGTGTGTGTTGGATGAAGTGTGTGTGTTGGGTGAAGGGTGTTTGTTGGATGAAGGGTGTGTGTTGGATGAAGGGTGTGTGTTGGTTGAAGGGTGTGTGTTGGGTCAAGGGTGTGTATTGGGTGAAGGGTGTGTGTTGGATGAAGGGTGTGTGTTGGGTGAAGGGTGTGTGTTGGGTCAAGGGTGTGTGTTGGATGTAGGGTGTGTGTTGGGTGAAGGGTGTGGCTTGGATGAAGGGTGTGTGTTGGGTCAAGGGTGTGTATTGGGTGAAGGGTGTGTGTTGGATGAAGGGTGTGTGTTGGATGAAGGGTGTGGCTTGGATGAAGGGTGTGTGTTGGGTCAAGGGTGTGTATTGGGTGAAGGGTGTGTGTTGGATGAAGGGTGTGTGTTGGGTCAAGGGTGTGTGTTGGATGTAGGGTGTGTGTTGGGTGAATGGTGTGTGTTGGGTGAAGGGTGTGTGTTTAATGAAGGGTGTGTGTTGGGTCAAGGGTGTGTGTTGGGTGAAGGGTGTGTGTTGGATGTAGGGTGTGTGTTGGATGAAGGGTGTGTGTTGGATGAAGGGTGTGTGTTGGGTGAAGGGTGTGTGTTGGGTGAATGGTGTGTGTTGGATGAAGGGTTTGTGTTGGATGTAGGGTGTGTGTTGGGTGATTGGTGTGTGTTGGATGAAGGGTGTGTGTTGGATGAAGGGTGTGTGTTGGGTGAAGGGTGTGTGTTGGGTGATTGGTGTGTGTTGGATGAAGGGTGTGTGTTGGGTGAAGGGTGTTGGATGAAGGGTATGTGTTGGATGGAGGGTGTGTGTTGGGTGAAGGGTGTTGGATGAAGGGTATGTGTTGGATGGAGGGTGTGTGTTGGGTGAAGGGTGTGTGTTGGGTGAAGGGTGTGTGTTTAATGAAGGGTGTGTGTTGGGTCAAGGGTGTGTGTTGGGTGAAGGGTGTGTGTTGGGTGAAGGGTGTGTGTTGGGTGAAGGGTGTGTGTTTAATGAAGGGTGTGTGTTGGGTCAAGGGTGTGTGTTGGGTGAAGGGTGTGTGTTGGATGTAGGGTGTGTGTTGGATGAAGGGTGTGTGTTGGATGAAGGGTGTGTGTTGGGTGAAGGGTGTGTGTTGGGTGAAGGGTGTGTGTTGGATGTAGGGTGTGTGTTGGATGTAGGGTGTGTGTTGGATGAAGGGTGTGTGTTGGGTGAAGGGTGTGTGTTGGGTGAAGGGTGTGTGTTGAATGAAGGGTGTGTGTTGGGTCAAGGGTGTGTGTTGGGTGAACGGTGTGTGTTGGATGAAGGGTGTGTGTTGGATGAAGGTTTTGTTTTGGGTGAAGGGTGTGTGTTGAATGAAGGGTGTGTGTTGGGTGAAGGGTGTGTGTTGGATGAAGGTTTTGTTTTGGGTGAAGGGTGTGTGTTGAATGAAGGGTGTGTGTTGGATGAAGGGTGTTGGATGAAGGGTATGTGTTGGATGAAGGGTGTTTGTTGGATGAAGGGTATGTGTTGGATGAAGGGTGTGTGTTGGATGAAGGGTATGTGTTGGATGAAGGGTGTGTGTTGGATGAAGGGTGTGTGTTGGGTGAAGGGTGTGTGTTGGGTGAAGGGTGTGTGTTGGGTGAAGGGTGTGTGTTGAATGAAGTGTGTGTGTTTGGTCAAGGGTGTGTGTTGGGTGAAGGGTGTGTGTTGGATGTAGGGTGTGTGTTGGATGAAGGGTGTTTGTTGGATGTAGGGTGTGTGTTGGATGAAGGGTGTGTGTTGGGTCAAGGGTCTGTGTTGGATGAAGGGTTTGTGTTGGATGAAGGGTGTGTGTTGGATGAAGGGTGTGTGTTGGATGAAGGTTTTGTTTTGGGTGAAGGGTGTGTGTTGAATGAAGGGTGTGTGTTGGGTGAAGGGTGTGTGTTGGATGAAGGATGTTGGATGAAGGGTATGTGTTGGATGGAGGGTGTGTGTTGGGTGAAAAGTGTTCTTGGCCCCATTTAACTTATTCGATAAGCGGCTCTTTTATTAATATTCAAGACGTATTTTAGTTGTGACTACCGCCTAAACATGTCCTCGTTAATATAGGATGAGCACTTTCCCAAACGTCGACCCGTCAGTATTAACGCCACTTGCATCATTTCTAGCGGGATATTGCAAGGCAGCGCAAGGGAAATAATCGTTGAAAACCCCGTAGGGGGAAGTAATCGAAAAGTCTTGAAAGTTAAGCACGTCACTGTCGCGGTTGGCCATCGATCTGTTTACCCATGCTCGTCATCCCCACAGTGTACCAGAGGGTGTCGTTACGGTTCATTGACCCCGGGTAGGTTACGCACGGATAAGCTGTCGGCGTTGTTTCTGGTCATACAATCCGATGGTGTGTTAGTGTATGCCTGGGTAAGTGGATGGTGTTATCAACAGGAGGGTGGTGGGAAACTGTGAGACAGGTGGGGCCTAGAGATCGATATCGTGATTCGGCTAGTGATTGAGAATAACGGATACGTATAAAGTTTATTGAATCGTAAGTTTTTTGACACGAAGGGAATACTTAAATGTATTTTG